TTGTAATCATTAATTTATTCATTATTCTTCATTGTTTCTACTTATTCCTTCATTTTATACGATATAACCCTAATTTTTGTTTTGATGTCGTTAATGTGAAATATACAAATTATGTATCGCGTGTAAAGAACTGTTAGGTTTCTCCACCAATAAGAAACGATCACGGGAAATCACGAATCACTGTGAAAAATCATCGTGATTGGGAACGAACGTGATCGAATCACGAGTGATTCACAAGTAGCAGTTCACGCCATCTCTAGTGCCGATACGAAAAAGAGTCGGTGAAATAGTCACGAAAATACAACAAACTACACGAGGTTAGTGGATTTTACGCAACGTAACTATCGTACAAATTTTTGCAGTCCCTGGTTACTGTTCCATATGAAGCAGATTACTTCAAGTAATTATGCGCTCGTGAGTTCTGTACAGGATACGATGCTGCAGAATTTAACGTCGGTTCAGTTTTGTATATTTTAAATTAAATGTTGTCTGTCGGGTTGCTGAACACTTAATTGAGTTTTCGGTATAAAATACTGCATCGATTTTAAGTAAGTATGTGTAATGATTATACAATTCATGAAACACATTTCTAGGTTAGATGGAACGGATCTTGCTTAGTAAAGGGCGCAGTTGATTATAAGTATTCGGAAGTTTGTGACCATCTTTACCAAGATTGTTCGGAGATCTCAAACGGAATATATCTATCCTGTATCTGGTACTACTAATTTATTACATCCTTCAAATACTGTATTTTTCTGACTTTCCAATGTATCCATAACACTTGCTTGGATAAAATGTAAAATCAACTGTACCCTACTTAGATCTGTGTAAGAAAAAAAAAAAAGAAAGACAATCCTTCGATGATCAAACAAGGCATACAGAGAGATATTTCTTAATATTGATTAACGGTAAAGGGATATGCAGAATTAAAGGTATTAAAACTTTTTTTAAGCCAAGATTGTGCTTCTACTGTTTATATTTCTAACATTGGACTGGAATAATGGAGAAGTTCATAGGAATGCACCAGCTAAAAGGGATACTTACAAATTTTCCAAGGAACATAAAATTTTGCTTTGCATACGGATCTGCTACGTTTAAGCAGTTAAACAATCAGTCCAACAATATGTTGGATCTTATTTTTGTTGCTCGCAATGTAAATCAATGGCATGCAGAAAATTTAGAACTTAATCCGAAGCATTATGCTCAGCCCTTAAAGCTTCTTGGACACCGGGCAATTGCTAAGGTGCAAGAAAATTGGGGTGCTAAGATATATTATAATACATTGGTTAAAATAGCAGGAGGATATACAATCAAATATGGAGTAATCTCAGAAGTTTCACTGATAGAAGACTTATTAGACTGGAATGATTTGTATTTAGCAGGAAGATTACACAAACCGGTGAAAATATTAGTGGAACCAAGCGGACAGTCCCAGCTCCCCACAGCTTTAGTACAAAATTTACATTCGGCCGTGCATGCAGCACTTTTACTGCTACCGCAGCACTTTACGGAAATTGATTTTTATAAAACGATAGCCGGCTTATCTTACAATGGTGATTTTCGAATGACCTTCGGTGAAAATAAAGATAAAGTTACCAATATTGTTTTGCCTCAACTACTGCAATTTAGACAATTGTATAGTCCGATTTTACAGCATTTCGAAAATTACGTGGATATCCCAAAGTTAGATCAGATGGCTATCACCTGCCATCAAGACACAAATCCAGCCACAAAAATACATCACTTGAATCAGTTACCTAGAACACCGCAGATTAAACTTGTTAGAGCCTGGTCAGAAGGTCCACGATCCAAGGATACAGAGGATTGCTTGCGTGCAATTGCGCATGATCCTGAATGCTGTGAAATACTAGAGGAATGTTTGAAAGAGATAGTGTGGAGATCCAGTGTAACGCAAAGTCTGAAGGGGATTGTTACTGCTGGATTTGTGAAATCTGTTAAGTATAGTGGAACTAAAATAATGAAAATGTTACAAGCAAGTCCACAGAATGAGTTGCTTTCGAAATCAGGGCCGAATCAGAACAAAATTGACAAAATAGTAGAAACTGTGAAGGATCAGACAGAACGAAAGGAAACTCACAAGCGCATAGAGTAGTAATTACATCCCTTTTAGTTCTACTTTAATTCTGTCATATGTATAATGTTCGCACAGCTGTGTTTTCGAATAAACTTATCTAGTCAAATTCTGACTACCTTTTTTTTAGATATTGTTCAATGCCTTAGTGCTTTAAAAATACTGTTACAGAACCGTCTGCAATATTTTTGTTTGTCGCTTATTCTGCCTACTGTAAAGATTAGCAGTTAAAAGCGAAATACCGCTGCATACATTAATTTTACGAAGTATCACTATGTATATACTGCGATTTATCTCTGTCGAAAATGAAATTTGTGGTACTTTCAGTGACTAATTGAATCTTGACAACAATGGACTCTGACTCCGAGAGTCAAGACAGCGACGATGGGCGACGATTTCGTTTTGAAGCCACCCGCAAAGATAACGTCCGACCAGAACCGAAACATGGAAAACATTCGAGATCGAAATCAGATTATAAATCCGACTATGATGGTGTAGAATATAGAGATAGAAAAGAAAGATCGAAGCACGACAGCAGTAGAAGAGAACGTAGATCTTCGAAAGAGCAAGACACAGACGATAGGGACCTTAGACATGCTTCGAAATGTTCAAAGCATGAATCAAAAAGTTCCAAACGCGAATGTAACAAAGACGGAAAGGATTATAAGAGTGCAAGAGACACTAGCATAGATTCTAAGACCTCTGCTTTGTCTTCGAAGCATAAAGTAAGAGACACGAAACAGCACGGAAATCGGGATCGTAGTGAGCATCGTAAACATCGGTCTCGAGATCGATCTCGCAGTAGAAACGACGACGATAGATCACAAAACGATAAATACAGAAACAAACCTCACGAGAAATATAAACAGCGTTCTCGCGACAGAAGTCGCGAAAGAAGCTATCAATCGCATAGACAGAGATCCTCGGATCATGGTAGATCTCGGACGGAATTTGAGAGACACAATTCTCATAAAAGAGCTTCAACGAAAGATGCCGATCAACGATTGCAGGAGCTCTCTCCACCGAGGAACGCGGAACAAAAACGTAGCGATAATGAATTATTACCGACAAGGGATTTGTCGGCTGAAAGTCAAGGATACAAAGAATTGGATTTGTCCGAATTCGACGTTCTGTCCGAGACAGATGAAAATTTATCCGACAGTTCAGATGTAAAGAATAGGTGTTCACCGTCACGGTACCATAAAACTAAGACGAAAAAACGACATTCAAACGACGAGCATGAGAACACGAGGAAAAAACAAGCGACGGAAACTGAACAGTCGGACAGCTCGCCTAAGGTAAATGCAAGGAAGGACGATACGTCGTATGGTTCCAGTAATAATAATCCTGGTGCCATTTCAGATTCCGCGTTTGGTGTCGCATCGCCTATATTAACGGAATCGATCGTGGATGATTGCACAAGTAATGTTGAAAAACGTTCCGAACCCGACGCAACAGACAAGACAATAGATTTACATAGTAGAGAAGAAACGTTGTTGAGTTCCGGTGATACAACTTCCTTGCGCCTTAGTAATTGCGATTCTTCGAAGCCCCGAAAAGTCTCTTCCTCCGACGAAGAGACGACTTACGGGCCAGTTTTACCGTCACAGTCGACACCTGACGTTTCCGATAATACGAAGTCGGCGAAAAGTACGAATTTCATAGGACCCTGTTTACCAGAATATTATGCACGAACGGAAAGTGAAAGCATCGAGGACGATGCTACGGGTCGGAATGATGAAAATGATTCCGACGTAGATAGAGATATGATTTTCGGTCCAGCATTACCGCCCCATTTGGCAGACCAAAAGCATAGTAATGGAACAGACGTGAAAATGATAGGTCCCACTGTTCCGAGTGCGATTAAATTATCCGATAACGAGCCAATAGAGCAAGAAGATTCCGAAAATGAAGATACGGTAGGCCCATTGCCAGTCGATCATCCAGCATTGAGAAGTAGTTATGTGCACAGACAATTGGAGCATAGAGCAGAGCAAATTAAAAGTGAACAAAAGAACGAGGTAAGCTCAATTATAATTTCTATAGGGATTTAGAAGAAGCTGTTTATGGTCGATAATATTTCAGGGCGATAGTACTTTGAATCGACGGGAAGAATGGATGACGGAATTACCATCAGCACAGATAAGTAATTTAGATCTGGGACCACGTAAGTTTCGTGTTAGGTCAGGCCCAGACATGTCCGATAGATCATGCTGGACCGACACTCCAGCAAAGAAAGCTGAAAAACAGAAACAAAAGGTCAGTGTGGCATGATTGCTTAGAATTTTTTTATTTCGATTTGTTTCATATAAAGAGTCTTAACTGATGATTCATCGTTTCAGGAAGAAGAAGAGTTATATAGATGTAAAAATTCAGTTACCGAGTCACCTGAAAAGAATTACGAGGCTGAGGACGAGAAAAGTACGAGGCGCGAGAAATCGCTTTTAGAAATGCACCAGAGCAAACTTCAAAAGAAAAAGAAGGTATTTCTCTATTGTGAAAAGATTGCGTTTTTTTTGTTCATACGTTCAATCGTGAATAAAATATCTAAATTTCAGAAAGCAGAAAAGAAAGCAAAGCTAACTGGGCAGACACTTAGAAGACCATTCGACAGGGACATAGACTTACAAATTAATAGATTCGATCAGGCTCAAAAAAGTGCTATCATAAATAAAGCACAGTATCTTGACGAAAGGTTCTCTCATGGAAAGATCTAATAATATTATAGTAAATTAATGCGATGTTAAAGAAATTTTAAGTTTACGGAACACATGCGTTTCTAACCTGGCTCACTGTAAGCGATATCGCTAATGAGTGCCTTGAACTATATAAATATTAATTGATTTTCATTCACGATGGGATCGAGTTCCTCGTTTATTCTTTTTTGTTTTTTGTTTTTTAAATGTTAACATTTCCCAACTTGTACACTGCTTTGTTTCTTCAATTGTTCATTATTAATTAATATTACGACGTCGTCTTTAAACGTATTCATTTTCAGAACACGTGTATTATACATTTTAATGTAAATTCAATGAATTATCCTAATTATGTGTAAACAAATGCATTATACATATATTTCTTTTATATCAGTTTTAGAGAGCATCATGCCAACTTGAATCCGTACTGTGTATGTGTGTTATACTATTGAACTGTATTCCCTGTAAATGACTGTTCTTCATACTTGGTAATGATGTATATACGTGTAACATTCATCTACTGTATCATAAACCATTGTAACTCATGAAACATATAAGTAGACCATATGGAATCATAAAGGATGTACATTCTGTATACATACTTTGAAAACGAAATACGCTTTTGCTTTCCTATTCTTATGGCACCGATTCGATTTTAACTGTGATAATCGGAAAACTGTATCAATGTGTTAAGTCGTTTGTTCAATGTAAACAGTTACGATCGTACCACGTGTAATTTTAATATACTTTTTACGAAAATTCATCTGTATTGATCCTCGGAGTTTCACCTGTGAATTCGTTATATATCGAGTGAAATGCCAATTCTGGGATATAAAAAATCGATGCGCTAGACGTTGACATTTGATTGAATTTAAATTTAGCGCTTGTAGCCCGTGTGAACGAGCACGTCCGGCATAGCTCTGTCAGAGATAGTTCCGCGAGAAAATAGAGGAAAAATCGTGTGTGTGTTACGCCCGCGTGACTTCGGCGATTAAATCACGCGAAAAAATTCCTTGAAAATCGAAGAAGTCGTATAAACCGTTCCTCGTGTTACGTGAGAGTGCGTATCGTTTTCATATTTGTATTTATGAATGAAGCGCCCGTCAGCGCTAGTAAATCTGACATCTCCTTGTGAACTTTACTCGATAGATTAATCAACGTCGCAGCAGTCGATCTTGCGTCGTTTGTGAGAGCTCTAACGTTTTGTTGGCAAGATTCGTAACCACCTTGTTCCGAGATATTCGCATAACCTCGAAATCAAGAAAGACCGAGGGAAATATAATTGATGCGAATGTGACATGCGACGTATAAACGGTGTGCATCTTGTCGCACACTACTAATATACACTGGACTAGTTACGACGTACGTGCGTATACATGTGCATAAGTGGTTACAAACCGACGGAACGTCCCCAGCTCGTTGTGCGCAACGTTTTTGCTTGAATGAAAACAGAAAAAAACTGTGGTAGGTAGTACATATAGAAATTATCAAGAGATTTACGTCGATTATTCTCGCTGATAACGAGATTGACAGGGTTAAATGCTGCGTGAATATCGCTTTTGTTGCGCATACCTGTTCCGTGCATATATGCGTATACGTTTTATGCGTCGCTGTGTGTGTGCTCTATGGATGCGTGTGCGTATGTATATGCATGTCACTTATTCAAGTTGGATTGGATTGATACATTTCGAGAGATTCGTTATTGTTGTCTATTTGTTCGTCGATGTGTCAAACTCGTTCACATTGGGTTGGCAACTTCTTTTGATCATTGAGCAGGTGTACGATACCTGTCATACTTGTACCTCCTACTTACGGATGCTTATACAGCAATTAAGCGACTTGGTGTTTTTGTACCGCTTTATAGCAAACATTAAGCATGAAATTTTAACGGTGTAACTTCTCGCGTTTGATGCTTCTTGATTCGATGCATTTTTACTTGACTGAATTGAAAATTGCCGTATAGGTTACAAATAAGTTCTTCGACATGATTAAAAAGTTAAATGTATCGTAATAGAAACAATGAAATTAAACAAATGATTTTCGTCTTCTCCAAGTATGGAGATTTAAAATTCTACTTTTGACAAAACTTCCCGATTCTTGTCAATAAATGTGTAACAACGAAGAGTTCGAATTGTGATAGCATTCGAAAATTTATTGTGGTCTTAAGTTTTTTCGAATCTTCCGGATCAAAATTGACGTTTCCAACAAAGTATTTATGCACACAGTAATCATGAAGACATTAATTATGATTTTCTCGAAATTACAGTACAAAAACAAGTACAGTAAAAATGTTTGTTTTTTCAGGACGCCAATATTCAGTTCACTGCAATGGATAAATTTGTATCTACCATTTAAGTGTTATGTATAATGAATTGCTCGAGGGAATTTTTAACGGAATATTAAAGTTGTCAGTACAGTGGATACTTCCAATATTTTAAAACATGAGACAGTGCTGTTTGAACCACCAACTTCAGCTATGGATTATGTTTCTTGTCTCCTGCGTTGTTTACAACAGGGCAGACATTTTAGTATTTTCTGCAGCAGCAAGATATCAAATCGAAGAAGAATTTCGGGACATGCCTGCCAGGTTTGGTGGTTTAATACCATCTGATGGAATTAAGGTATTCATTACATAATTTTACATTGCAAATAAATATTGAATTAAATAAATGCTTTCCAAGAAAACTGGAGAAGAGTTTGGGCTCAATAGTTTCTTAATTTTAACTGACACAGTGATTTCTGTAATGTTGCTCCAATAATGACACAATTGTCCAAATGCATTTAAAATAAGAGTGGGAAACTTATATTATATAGTGTACAGTTGAAGGAGTGTATGCTTAATGGATTATGTTAAACTTTATTAGGGTATGGTGGTATATGCTGATCCACCTACAGCATGCCACGAAATAATGCATCCTCCAAATGCTACCAATTACAATGGTAATTGGATAGCTTTAATTGCTCGCTATAATTGTAGTTTTCAAATAAAAGTTCGAATGGCACAGAAAGCTGGCTATGATGCTGCAATTATACACAATGTGAACAGTAACGAATTAGGTAAATACCTTAATTACGATATTGCATAACAAGTGTAAGTTTAATTATTCTGGTTATTGGAGTCACGATAATTATGTTAATTACAATTTTAATACCTCGAATGATTTTACCGAACTAAGACAATTTTATAAGTGTATCCATATATTTCATGTATGTGTGTGTATACGGATATTTTGTTGTAGAACCAATGTCAGCCAAAGATCCCATAGGGATTTTGATACCATCTGTATTCGTCAGCGAAATAACAGGACTAATTATTAGAGAAAATTATTTATACGACGAACTGTATTTTGTACTCATTAACGATGATACGCCGTTTAATATTACGAATTTTCTTCTACCTTTCGCCGTCGTTGTTGGCATATGTTTTCTAGGCATGGTTGTTTATATGGTGAGGTCATATAATGGGCTATCAAAAGAGTATTATTCAATTTAGTACGTTCGTAGAAGACATTGAGTCTAAGTTGCTTACTTCTGAGTTGTAGATCGTTAGATGCATCAAGGATAGAAGACGGCAACGAAGGCATAGGTTGCCAAACTCGAGCTTGAAAAAGATTCCCACGCACAAATATACAAAAGGTGATCCATACGAAACATGCGCTATTTGTTTAGATGATTACATAGAAGGAGAAAAATTAAGAGTTCTGCCCTGTGCTCATGGTTAGTGTACTCGTGAACGTATAGAACGAATTCCGAAAACTTCTATTTATCTACTAGAAGAGAAATGCTTTCAATGATATTTCCAGCTTATCACGCGAAATGTATTGACCCTTGGCTAACCAAAAATCGCAGGGTTTGTCCCGTTTGTAAGAGAAAGGTTACTGCCGTGGACGAACCAGTTATTACCGACGGAAGTGATTCGGATGCCGACGATACGACACCTCTAATCCGTGACGGTCAACAGGGTACGAAAATCGTATGTCCACACGCACACTAAAAATCATGGCCTATAAAAATATGACAATTATTTGTCTAGGCACTCAGGGTGGTACGTTCACCAGACAGAGAGAGAATCCTTTTAGGCGCGCCAGAAGATCTCGCAACAGAGAGAATACAAATCGTTGGAGTGACAGCTCCGATTCCGACCAATCCGATGTTCCATCCACTGACGGAACTAGTACAAGTGCCGGAGAACCATCTAGTGGATCTCTTTTTATGGTTTGGGACACCCATAGCATTAACGGTAAGTGTACTGTTTTTATTTAGAACCCTTTCGCTGCTGATAACGGTCAAACTCTAACGGTCCCCTTACTGTAATGGAAGTCCAATATGCGCAAGTAACGCAGTTGTGTCGTTTCTGGCATTAGACAGGATAGCTTCCGATTCGAGTCGAATCAGTGTTTGAAAAGACAATGTTGCAACATACAGTGGACTCTGACTATATTGTCATGGTCGCAGCTGCAGGGGAGTAAAATGGCAATACGTTCAGAGGCCCCTCTATGCTAAATTCTATCGTCATAATCTCTACCTCAGCGCTTGCGCAAAAGGGGGGGGGGGAATAAAATGGGTGGAGCGAATTTGTGTACTCGAAAGTGAGTTTGAAGGGAAAGTGCCTCGTGCGGCAATATGTTTAATGGCAATATAGTTAGAGTCCGTTATGTATGAAACAGTTTATCCGGCAAAAGTATAAAATATTTCTTACATGTAAACTAAGTATTACATGGTTGATTCCTGTGCAGCAACTAGATAGCTGATTCAAATTCGAAGCAGGGAAAGGGTTAATAGAATTTAATAGAGATAAAAAGAAATGAAACAGTGAACCAGTTTATCGATTTAATGCCAGGCGAATTACCGCAGCTGGAGTGCTCTCTGAACAGCACTAAATCGCATACAGTGAATTTATATACGAACACTGAAGAGTTTCCCACGTCTGTCGTTCAAATTGCAAAAGGTCGTAGCACACGGACCGCTGGTAACACGCACGCATCGAATTCGACCGGGTCTGCCGTACCAGCCGAAAATGAAACGTCGAGCGTCACGGATTCCGAGGGAAACGACATTGCTGCATAAGATAGCGAGGTTCATCTTTTGCTACCTTTCGTACGATCTTTCTTGTTTGTGTAGTACAAGAACGATACACGCCACTGCAAGGTATTACCTTTTATTTAGACCTGGCATAAAATGCTAGAACTACTACGTAATCGAGGAACGGAAGAACATTTTTAACACTTTGAAAGATTTCATTTCTTTTATATCGAGGAATTACGGTTCATCGCGGGCGCTCGCACGCGCATCACACGGTCAGGGCAAGAAGTTTTTAAAATGTTTCTGTGTAAATCCGTCGCGTTTTCCCTTTCGTACGTTGCTCTTCAAGCATTTGTTCAGGTTAATTTGTATAAAAGTAAATGAAACTCTATTATCGAGAATGATCTGCCATTATTTTATTAATAAGAGTCCATTGTTACCCGATCAGCTTAATTTTGATTAAAGATCGCATTAGACGCATAAAAATTGTTACTTGATAGTTAAAGATTGCAAAATTATTTTCTGGGTGTAAGCTTGAGTAATTTAATGTTTCAAATAGCAAGAAATAGCGAGCAGCGAATAATTTCCAACTACGGTCAGTAAGAAAAAAATCCCCGTAAACTCTTGCATGTACAACAAACGATGTATTTGGAACATTATTTTATTCTATTCTGTATTTTTTCATCTTCTTTTTTTAAGCCTACGATTAGATATTTCGGAGCAATTGAATATTTTCAACTATTCCATTAACGCTAAATGACGATCACTGGTGATATATATCGTAATATACATAAAACATACGTTTGCGACACAGTGCGCGATGAATTTGTAAATATTATTTGTTGGTATGTATACATATATATATAACTTGAAAGACCAAAAATAGAAGCCTCCTTAGTGAAAGAACATATTAAGACGCTCGATAAAGAGCTACGAAGTTTAACAATGAATATTTTTAACGTTAGACGTTACGTTAACGAAGTTGGATTCGTGGGCGGTATGTATATTCCGCGATATGTAAGACCGATGAACGGTTTTACACGAGAAACGATGAAATTTGCACAGTTTCCAGCAGTGCTTCATTAAACCGCCGGTAATAAATTTTACATTAGCCAAAAAAAAAAAGTTAAAGAACAAACTATTCGATAACGTTTCGACATTTCGTATAACGACGCGTCCTCATCTGCACGAATTCTGTACATTTTACATGTATAGTTGAAATTAGTGTTCACGGTTGTTTCCTAATTGCAGAGGGATAAACGTGTTATTGGGCTGTACATACAGTGTATACCTCTGTACAGGAAATGCATTACGTGTGCCGGGTGACGTGGCACAGTAGTGAGAAAGAAAAAAACATTTATGCCTATTAGGGGATGACGTTTCACTATATTGTTGCTTGATCATTGTTAATATCGATCTTTCGCAAGAAAGAAACGAAAAGGAAGGTTGTACAAACATTGTAAATAGTATGAGAGAAACATTGTTGCGTGTGTATGTATATATATATATGTATATTGTACGATATCGGAGATTTAATTTTTACTCAATTACTATAACGTCTGAATCGGTGGATTAGACTTGCTATATTGTCTCATCGTTAAACGTTAGGTGTATTGTCGAAATAAAAATAAAAGATATTTATATTTTGTATTTCACATTATGGCTGCTGATACCTTTAAACGAGGGCGGTGACGATACGCGTTTGCTGCATCGTACTGTTGCGATAAAGATGATAAACATTGAATGAAATAGTGTGAAAACCGGAGGGGCGTATGTAAAATCATTTAGGTCGCATTTGCCGACGGGAAGCATTAAATAAAGCGAAAATGGTTGTGCATCGACAATAGGTTGCGTGTGTCGACCTTGCAGCGATTATCTGTAATCGTGTCGAGTAGTTTTCCGGGTTTCCGTTTTTTACGAAGAAATAAAAGGTATGAAAATTCTCCGGCGATTGTCTTGCTCGATAACGGAGAAACGAAAGAACAACAAAATCGTGGTAATTGTTTTCGAACGACCTCGCGGCGCTTCGTACGGGAAAAAAACAAAAAAACTAGTGAATACATTGACCTTCTTCTACCTTCGAGTCATAAACCGGATCGAGCCAATGATGCGTTACGTCACCGGCCGATGGACGACGCGTTATTTCACAGTTGACGACTCGATAAACACGATGTTGCGTTTATCATGGAATCGAAACGCAGGAGAAATAGATTGCTGGCACAGGGTGCAGGGTATCGGTAAGGGGTGACGGAAAATACGTGATTCTCGATCGACTGGCTAGACACGAACGGTGTCTGTCTAAAGTAGCGAAACAAAGGGAAGAGGTTAGATGAGGGGCGACGACGTAAAGGCAGTTCAGACACGTCCAAAGCTAGTTACGAACACTACACTAGTTCCTTGCGCGTAGACCCATTAAAATTGATTCTTTCAAGAGTTTCTGCAATACCACAGCCAACTCTGTGATGTTGCAACACCGTATAAAAACTTTATATCAGTCTAATTACATACGATCAAACTACTGTATATGCGGTTTTTATAAACATATTTAATAAGGGTCAGTTGACTCATGTAAATTACCTAGCAGGTACCAAATAACGCGACCAGTTTCTCATTAATTCTCATAGGACTGATGACAGCGTTGTCAAATTTACTATGTTCCTGTCTATACTACTTAGAGTTGACCGTGTGATTGCAAAACACTGAAAGGGTCGATTTTAATGGGTCTACGAGCAAAGAAGGCCCGAGTTACAGGATTTCGGCTGCGTCTGTTTGCATGCTCGCTGTTACACGTGTCTGGATCTGCCTTAAGAAACAAAAAAAAAAAAGAAGAGTTGCGCGGTTGCATAGAGGAAAGAAGTGTTGTAACGGCGTTTCGTGAAGAGAGAAAGAGAGCGAGAGTGGCCGCGCGTGACGGCACAATGCCGTTTGAATCGTCTACTCGTTGTGTGGAAAAATCGCTCGAAGACGTTCGCGATGCCGAGGAAAGATCGTGCCTCGGTTCTCGTACAGTTCGGCCTCTCCAACCGTCCGAGCAGGCCTCTCGTCCTCTCCACCTTCGCTATCGCAGCAACCCCGATTCTTTCCACCACCTCCATTGGAGGATCTTTTTCGCCCACCCTCTCGATTTCCCCTCCCTCGCCCCAAACCACCCTTGTTCATCTCTCCTCTCTTCTTTTACTCGCACTCTTGATCGACATCCCTATTCCACCACGTTGACAATTTTTTTTTTTTAGTTTTCCTTCATTGTTTTTTGTTGTTTAAAGCGAGCGACAGACCTTTTATAGGTGCGAATACCCTAAATTTGATACCTACGCAGCAATGCTATCGAATGACGAATGAAATTGCTCGAATTTCATGTTCAATCGGGACAACGAGGACTGTCTGCATTTTCGAGCTAGGTAATCGTAATATAACTGCAGATATAGAAGAAAGACGGGTTGTTCTGCAAACAAAAGATTGCGCGTTAGGAAGACCTTGCACCGATTAGTCATTGTCTTTATCAATGACTAACCCAGACCTCGTATCGGAAACGTCGAGTGGAGGGGAGATTGTAAACGTTTAAATAGCGAATACACGGTATGTATTTATGGACATATCGAGCAACGAGATAGAGTCATTGGAATAGGGTAGATGTCCCAATTTCTGTCACCTTAAGATTATAGCGTAACTTCGTTTCATCATTTTACGTGTTGTTTAACGTAAAAATTGTCTCAGATTGGAACATGCTTCAACAATTAATTTTGTACATTAGATATAGGTTGAATAGTAAAATTACGGCTCAAATTCCACCTTTCATTCTTCAATATTAATTTTCAAATACCATGTACATACAAATACATGTATTTCCTTGTTCTTATGTAAATCATAATCCCAATTTAATAATAAAATTGTTTCCACAAAATTCTTTATACGTTACGTTATTATTAAGGAACATAAATGAAATGGCAGTATTAAGGACACTGGCAGTAATTGGGACATTTATCCTAGGCGGTTAAATATCGGCCAAGTTTTTGCATAGAAACGCGGCAACACGATGCAATTGCCGGCTTGTGAATCATTCGATGCGTCGTCGTGTTTTCGCACGATCAGGAAGAAAAATAACTGTTACGCAATACCTGCTGTATCGGGTTACAAATATGTTTGTCTTTTTTTTTTTTTCTATGCATATAGGTATTAGCACCAACGACGGTTGTGTACGTGCTGGTGGAAGATTGCCGATAGAACACGAACGTAGAGAACGGTACGAACGACAAAATAGCATTCGAGAATATTTGCGACGGATACACTCAGGTATAGCTTAATTTACGACCGACGAGCGTATTACTTACACAAGGAAAGATTGCCGAATTTGGACCATAACAAGTGATGGCGTAAGCGTACTAAAGAGCCGTAATTTTACCATTCAACCCATATTTAATGTACAACATTTTGATACTGAAAACATAAAAAAAAAATTCATTTCTCCAGGTCATGGGATCGGATAAACAATTACGGCCGCGTCCCGAATCTGTTAACCCCTTGCCCTACGATTGTCTTGACGCCTGCAGACTCCAGGATTGCATTGTTGTCGATAATTTCCCCGGAACGAAAGGAATTCTGTACATATCGCAGCTATATTTCTACTGCAAAAGTGCAAAATTAATACCAGCAACGTGGCACTTCATTTCAACTCAACGAAAACCGAATAATATTCGTTGAATCGATTTTGAAATTGTCAACACGACTCTGACTCGATGTTATAGGGCAAGGGGTTGAAGGTACGCTACAATCACAAGGTGGCAGAAATTGGTACATCTCTATCCTATGCAATCGGATGAGATGTGGACACCGAAAACGATATGTATACCTAGGAAGACGGCTGGGCGAAATAAGAGAAACAAGAAACTGGCGGATACATACCCAGATAGCACACAGACGGCTCAATGACGGCTTAAAGGCGGCTCAGGCCTAAAATAGCCGTGAAATAGGCGTTTTCGTGGCGTCATGTGTTATCTGGGTAGCTGCACGGTGGAAGCAAGTCTACGTAGACGTCAGGGGAGATTTTCGAGGGGTTAGCAACGCGGGCCTGACCGAGTAACAATCAAATAGGCTAGCCGTCCGCGTGACTAACCCGTTACCGGTGCTGCAGCTGCTCGCGAATTATCGATTCGCGAAAATTTCCCTTCGTCCCCGTGGACATGCGCGCGGGCGCGCGACCCGAGAGATCACCGGAGGGAAAAGCAGAGAGGAACACGCAACGAGAGATGTCCTTGGCGCGTAGGATACGCCTTCGCGCGTATGCGTAAATCCGTGCGCAAGAAACGTGCTCGCTTCGGATACCTAAACGCGGTGGGTACATGCGCGCTTTGTGTCTTTAATGCCAAGGAGGGGGTGGGGGTGCAAAAGGCATGCCGGACACCTCGGGAGAGACACGCGTTCGGCAATCGCAGCAGCTCGACCGGCTCTGTTCGTTCCGTCAGATGCGGTACTGGAATTTTCCTGGGCTACAGGAAATCTTGATCCAGGCCTGGTAGAACCTGATAGTTTGGGATGGATGTAACGGCCCTCGAAGCTTTCCGTTTCAATTGTTTTTCGTATTTCGGGTGTAATCGAGGTGGGTATTCGGGGAAAC